TTCTTAAATCTGGTAGATAAAATAGTGAATGTTGATACTTTCCTCACTGTGATATTTCCACGATAAAATAAGAAGCTAAGGCTCTATCCTCTTGACAAACACCATCTGTCGCTCCTGACTACAGCCAGGACGCAGATCTTCAGGCAGCTCACGGCCTCCCACCGCTTCCGTTTGATTCTGCCACCCAGCACGTAACGGGCTGTGTTTTGCTTTTTTACAGGTCTGACATTTTCCCTGCCTAATTATGAACCTGAAGTGTTCATCTATGTATATATCTAGGAATGATAAACCGTATTTATGGATTGCTGCTACCAGAGGTGTTTCACAATGTTGTCTTGTCATAAACATTAACAGGAAGACAAGCAGAGAAAAAGTGGATCAAAATAGAAGGAATATTTTTTTAAACCCCATTAAAAATACAGAAAATATTTTAAAGTTTCCATTGCCATGACTGTGCAGAGCTATTCCCAGTTATACGTAAAATGGAAAGTAATTGTCTTTAGCGTGGTTGTTCTGAAGTCTCAAAACCCACTCATCATTCCCAGCACAGTGACATGCTCTTTCTGCCTTCCTTTGTGTTGACAGACAGTTGGGACAAAAGGACCAGAAACTGGTAATGAAGCACCTTCTGCTGCAACTAAAAATGATAGGAGTTTTTTTTTGTCTGTTGTAGCAGTTGGATCTGTGTAGTGGATCAGTTGGGTAAGTACTGGGTTTGAGTTTACTGCTAGCCTCTCACCTTCAAGAAAGGATCTCGAGAGCAAGAGATTTGTAATTTCTGATTTAGAACTGAGAGAAACTCTCAATTATAACTGTAGCTTGTAGGACATAGATAGCCTCAAATCATAATTTCCATGATTTCTGTATATCCTCTTGTTTTTGGCAGTACAGACAGCGCTTCCTTATTTTCCCAGTCTTTTCAAAGATGACGAGAGTATTTGGGGAGCTACCAGGAGGGCACATCTGAGCAAAGGGCCCCTTATACTGTGCAAATGTACTATTTAATTTGTGTCAATATTCATCCACACTTGACTTTTCCCACAGTGAGAGCAAGGGTCCAAGTTGTCTCTTGCTCTTGGTACGGAATAAGCAATTCTGGAAGCTTGTAAGCTTTAAAACCAGATCAGATAAGATGACCTCAATACCAGTTGTGCTATTTAATGACAGAAGTTTTAAGTACATCTTGGTGCTGCAGACCACAGCTTCTTTTTTAACCTTTTTTTCATGTGAAGTGTTAGACATGTGGCTCTGTTCCATAGGGATTACAACAAAGAACACCCTTGTACCTTGTGCTGTCATGGTTGTGTGTGCAATGAAAGCCCAGCTGTGACAGACTGCATTGTGAGCATCGCTCCAAAAGGTCTCAACCTACAGATGTTTAGGACGTAACCCAGAGCTGTTGGCTGTGGCTGGTGACTGCCCTTGGGGAGGAATTTTATGCTTTAGAAATCAGAAGTCCTGACTGCAATTCATGGAGCTCAAGGTTATCACCCTGCATACACACACACTCCTTCTTATCGTCCAACGCCAGCAGTGCATGGGGTATTTTTAATCCATAAATTTATGGCGTGCTTAGAATTAGCATGTTTACTCCCAACCAAGTGGAAAAAAATGATAACGGTGTTAATCCAAGCAAGAGTATGTACAGAGAGCGCAGCTAGAAATTCATCGTGTTGGTGGTGTAGGTGCAAGTAAACTTTGTGAGCAAAACGAGAAAAGCCAACATGGGATTGAGTTTAGAAAGAACTACAGAAGCAGCACGTGGTACTTGGCAGCGTGGCTTTATGGAAAGTAGGTCTTGTGAAAAACATCTCATTTGAGGTTGTGGAATTTTGCTGATGAAGGTAAACACATAGATTTTGCAACACATTTCCGATAAAATTGCCGTCATGATACACAGGCTGAGAGTTCAAGAGCCAGAAGAGCGAAAAACTGCAAACCCAAGTTCTCAGTAGAAAATCATCCAAATGGTGTCTTGGATAGAGGTGATGGCACATCATCTTTCTGACAATCTCAGGATGTTCCCATAAGGAGCGTCACAAAAAGAAGGGGCTGTCAAAGTATCAGCATGTCTACGTCAAGATGCTCCTATACGTTGCCATAGGGACGTGTTTCCAAGGGAGACGGGTAATGCACATTTCTGGAACAAAACTAAAGCAGAGGAATGAGAGTGGGAGGAGATGCTGAGCATTTTGTAGCCAGCCAACCCTCCTCTGCTCCGCACGTTGCACCAGTGGTCTGTGAATTTACTAAATATTACTAAAATTGCTTACCCCTTTTCTAATAACCTGGTGTAGCCCCGCAGGCAATATTTCTTTCAAAACCTACCCTTTAGCTGCTAGCTCGAAAGACTTGTAAGTAGGAGATGATGTTTGAAAGGTGAAGGGGAATTTCCCACTCAAAGTCGTTTCCCTTTTCTAAAGACTTTCCTGCCCTTCATCCCCACCGAAATGTTTTCCATTTTTTGCTTCAAACACTCAAGGTGGGAGGTGTTTGAACATTGGCAGAGACTTGGCCAAAAAAAATCAAGGCAAATGCAGTCGCTGATTCCTACCACCTTCGTTTGAGACATCTATAATGTTATTTGAAGCATTGCTGGACATCCTCAGTTTCTGATTTTCAGTGCAAAAGGGTCAGTGTCTGCAGAACTGGCCCCGGACCTCCGCTGGGCTGGCTGGCGTCTCTTCAGCCTGATTTTGCTTAAAGACAAATTTTTGATGCGTGGTTTTGCTCCTGTGCTCTCCCAGCCTTGACAGAGCTTTTGTCGTCTTGAGGATGTTCTTCACCTCAAG